CACACTGTAGCTACTGAAACAGAGACAAGTAATTAAATCTCATTTCCAAGGTCAGACAAGAACCAGTCACCCAAGTCAAACTGAAGACTTGTTTTAGAATCTCAGATTCCAGCTTAATTTCCATTTGATCAACAGCCAAACATTCTCACTGACACTGGCTGGCTCTTAAAGAAAGGAACGAGTTGAGTAAACAGGAAGCTTCCTGTAACCCTGTACTAGAGGCCTCTGTTACCATTGTAAGTGAAGATACCGTTTAATGAAATCGTTTCTAACAAATGTCTGTGGAGGAGTTTCAAGGCAGATACACCTTCACAACAAGTTCCACTCTGTAGTTATTTAATGATTAAAGTCAGGTTTCATTAGTCTTCTTTTTATAACTCAAATGTCTCTGATGTTAAGTCATTGTGGTAATGTTTTCTTTCCTTCAAGTGCTTTGTAACCAATTCGTATTGGGATAAATATTCCTCTGATGTTATATCAAGTATATAACAGTACTACATTTTGAATTTATGCCAAAGTATGATAGACTACAAATTCTATATGTGCAATTAATGCATATGAAATCAGTTTAGCCAAAAAAGATTTATAATGAAAGTTTATTAAGAATTCATTTCTATATCTTTAATTCTAAAAGAAAAAAAGGAGGGTAGAAATTTCATTAATTTGTTGCAAAAAAACAGAAATGAACACCATAAAAAAACTTCAAGTAGTAATTTTTTTAATAAAATAGAAAACAAAGTTTGTTCCTCATCGCCACCAATGGTTCATTTCATTGAAAATTCTTTCTTCTCTATCTCCTTTCTCTTTTTATACCTTTCTTTGTTCCTTTCCTTTTTTTCAACCTTGCTAATATACCCAAGTATGTATTTCTTCTATCCACCTAACTACTCTTCTCTTTCCAACAGTATTATATGATCTTTACACCTTTAAAACAGAATTTGGCTTTGTTTCTCTATGTCTTTCTTTTTAACAGGATTTTTTTTTATTGTGCCCTGTGTTAGTGACAAAAAGAAAAAAATAAAACATGGCTTGCTTCCCTGGACCTCTCATAAATAATACTGGCATTAAACATTTGGTGTTATCAGGCTCAGGAGACTGTATAGGGGACACTAGTGACATGGCAACTGAACCCTGTTTTTCTGGGATTCATCCAGGACATCGAATATGATTTATTCATGATTTTGTTAAATGAAAAAATGGTATAAAATTTTTTACCAGGGATATCTTTTAATATAAACAAATTACTTCTCTGAGTCACATATTTATTGATTTTTTCTTAATGTAAGGTAAAATCCAGTAGGTTAGCATTCATCTATAACTGAGAAGATAGCAAATCTACTTGTAACATATGTAGCATAATTATGATAAATAATCTTTAAGCAGATTTGGGTTATGATCTAGTATTATCTCAAAGAATCAAAGCAAAGGAAGGAAAAGCTTTTTATTTTTTCCACGTTACATATTTGTAATAGAAATAAATAAAATATCCTTACTGAATTGATCATAACATGAAACTGATTTTTTCTCTCTATTATACTTATTAAATAAACATTTTATCCTCTTTTCTTAACGTTTCTTTGGGAATACCTGAAATGCTTTATAATATTTAAATTGTTAAGCTTTGCAAGTGGATATGAGTGTCTGACTTCTAATATTGTTTATTAGATTAAAAATAAGAACCTAATCAATAAGCTGATTCTAACTAGAGTCATATTAAAACAAATATTTTCTCAAATTTTCTAATCAAATATTCCATGATTGGTTAGTAGAATATCAAAATAGCTACCTATGAGGACAAGAGTTAATATGTCATTTTGTTTTCATCTCCACTGTTACATTTTCAGCATGAACTTTTGTGATAGTTCAGCTAATGCAGGAACATACCATTATACGTGCTACTACAGTCTGTTTGGTATTTTTATTATTGTTGGAAGGCCTGTAATATGTTGGATAGATAATATGGCACAGAATTAGGAGGAACAGGAACATCAAATGATACATCATTGGAGGAAGGTCCAATATCGATTAGATCATAGATCTATTAAAATACTAGTGACATTATCATCACTGTCATTATCATAAACAACATAAAGTACATCCCTGCTCCTCAAAAGACATTCTGAGAGTCTACTTTAAGACTTTACATCCATAAGAATCCACTTGATAAATTAAATAACATTCTACTGGCTGAAAGAGTTCATACAGAATCTGATGATCCTCTGACTGTTCTATACAGCAGATGATCTGGGAAATCTAGCCAGATATGAGTATTGTGTTAAATTCTACAGTTACTATAAAGTTAAGTGCAATTCTTGCCCCATGGATTAATAATATATGTATCTTAATACATCATCTCCTTTTATGCACAAAACCTGAAAGAAATAATGGCAAAACTCATGAGAATCAGAAATAGATTAAAAAGAAAATATGTACCTTTCCTTTCACATTTATACCCTTTGGGGTTGATTTTCATAGTATTCTATGTTAGTGGGAAAATATTGGGATTCTTGCCACAGATAGATGCTCTTATCCTATCTATATGGGGTATCTCAAAAGTCTTAGTGCAGTTTTAAACTTTAATATCTTAAATATCTTTATAAGCTTAACAGGCTTGAGTAGCTTAAAACTGCACTTTAAGACTTCTGGGTTACCCTAGATAAGGAACAGCAGAAAGAACTGAAAAGATAAGGAGGGGAAGGAAATGTAATTAATAGATATGGGTCAGGTAGACTTTTTGCAGATAAACTACTTTGAGGATTATTAGTAGGGCTAATCTATAGTAGGATACATGATCAAAATATAATTAAACAAATGAAGGATTATGTGAAGATATATCTAAAATTAAATGTTGTCACAGTCTGTTTTCCATTTATAAGGTAATTGTCTTTATTCACAAAAATAATAACAAGAGATATACTCGTAACAGGTTTCTACCCATTAAGCATGCAGCTAGAGATTATAAACAAAAGAGGATGGCATTTCTTACGTAGTAAAAATAATGTGAATGACAGATTTTCTAAATGATTTTGTATTTCACTTTTATTGGTACCACAGTGGGATAACCTTTGCTTTGAAGCAAATTAGAATCACTAGAGAAAGTGTGAACTATATTGTATCATACACATTTATTTTTATCCCCTCTTCTGAATTCAGTGAAAAAGAAAGTTCTTTTTTTATATATGTGTGCTTATTCTATTTTTGGTCTCATTAACACATAGGTTAAAACCGAGATAGTAGGTAAACCCCCCAAAAAGAAGTTTCAAATAGTATTAACAGTCTTAAACAGCAACATATTGGGGAATTAAAGCTGTCTTTTACTCACAAAGCACTGATTTCTGTCTATATCAGAATATCTTCTATTTGTAGTGTGAAAATCACGAATGGTGTGGGGGAGCAACTTATTGGGTTAGATGCTACTTTTTTTAACTTTTGAGACCCATAGATACTGGGTTGGTAGCTAAAGCCACTAAGAAGAGAATGAAATTATTATTATTTTTCTAAGACAAACCATTCTTCTCATTTTGTTCAATGGAATTCAGCTGGAAATGTCCCTTGAACAAGTTGCTTTCTAAGTCTTATTACTTTATATTCAAGAAAGGAAATGAGTATTTATTAAGTGCCTACTGTGTGTCACCTGAGAGGTAGCTGCTATTATTGTTTCCATTTAATAGTTGAGGAAAACTGAGGCAAAGAGAGGATAAGTGCCTTGTCCAGAGTCACACAAGTGACCAAAGCCATGGCTAGAAAGTGTCCTGGGCTAGATCTGAGCTCAGACCTTCCTGACTCCAGGCCCAATGCTCTAGCCATTGTGTCACTTAACTGTCTCATTGCATAGGCAGAAAAATATAACTGCTTTTTGTATTTAAGTCAGCTTATAAGTAGCTTTTGTAGTTGAGTCAAACTCATTTTCTCGTAAGCTCATTAAAAGCATCTTCAAGGAAATTCCAGTAGCGGACATGACAACAGGGATAATATTCACCTCACCTTGTTCTCACACGATTTTGATTTCTTCTACTAAGTCTCTGTATTTTGAAATCTTTTGATCTTCTTATAATCTTGTCATCTCTTTGGATGATGTTCAGAAAGAAGTGGTCCAAGGGCAAGTCACTTTGCTGATATTATTCTTAGACTATTGCTCACATGGATAAAGTGAGTGCATTCCTTTTTGGTAACTGAATGAAAGTATTGGAATGTAAGCTCATCTGTCTGCAAGGTCATTGAAAGCACCTTTGAGATGTTTCCGGTAGCAGACAGAACAGCAGAGATGACATCCTTCTCATCCTCTTGCCATATAGTTTTTAATTTCTCTGCTAGACCTCTGAGTTTTAAAAACTGATGATTCATTCTATGTAGTTTGGAGATTGTAAATATTTAGTATGGTCACCATAATAAGAATTACCATTATTATTGCCATTATTATTGTTGTTGCTATTATCTTATTAGATAAACTGTACCACCACCACAAATAAGCTGGATTTATATGAAATGTTTGAAAATGGTCATGATCTATACCATAAAATAACCAGAAAAGGAATTTGAGTAATTAAGTGTTTTCCCTCAGATTTTAATAGGTATAGTAAGAGACTTAAAAGACATTATTTCAGGTGCATTATTCAAGATTATATGAAAGCATCAGGTGCTTTTATAAATTTATTCTGAGATTAAAATTATAATCCTCAAACTATTTCAATGATTTAAATGACTTTAGCAAGTTAGCTTATGGAGCTAACTGGTCACTCATGCATGCGTATATACATACACATACATATATATATATATATATACACACACACACACACACACACACATATATATATGCACACATACATATATATACACATATATGTATACATATACACACACATGCACATATACATAAAAGTGTGCATGGATATATATTATATACGTAAATAAATGCATATGCCTTTATGACTAGTTAGCTGCTGTTCACAAGTATAAAAATGGTCATGATATTCTGTTTCCTGCTCTCTCTCTCTTAGCAATGCAGCAAAAAAGCCTCTGCCTCATTATTGTGGATTTTGAAGTCATCTGGAATAATTGCAAATCGTCCCTGGCCACGGATCACTCTCACAGTTACCACCACTACCATTATATTAACCATGGCCATCTTCAACATGGTAAGTGCCTCAACATGTATACTTTGAAGCTCGTGACAGTCTAATCATTTTCTGTTTCTATCATATTTCTTAATGACTTTTCACAGCTGAGGCCTGCAGTTGTTTTGGAGGGGAAAATAACACCATTTTTGTTTTATGAAATTTTACTTCAACGTTCAATAAGATCGTTAGAAGACAGGTGAGATTATCTTCAGAAAGCTATGAGATGAGGAAGCTTCATGGGCTACTTCTGCTATGGCTATAGACCAAAGGGCAAGGAAGGACAGCAGATGTTCACCCAGAAGGACAACAGAGAAATAGGAGTGCATGGTCCCAAAGAAGAGCAAAGTTGGAACCTTCAGTAATCCATGCCAGACTCTAATGCCAAATTTGGTTCATTTGCTACAGAAGGGGGCAATATGGGGTTCAGAATGTATATTATCTAAACTTTCCATTTCTTCCATTTGTGCTTGGCAGAAGGTGGATGCTCAATGTTGATTTCAATTCATCTGCCCCAAGAATCAGGCTAGGAATATAAATATAATTGCCAAATTGGGATCAAAAGACCATGGCAAAGATGACAGAGTCAGAGAGGAGTATGTGGCATGGCAGCAGCTGAGAAAATACTTGATCATGGATTTCTGGGAATTTGTTTCTCCTTAAGCCTTTCTTGCCCAAGAACAGCTACAGCTGTCACTGCTATTAAGAGCTGCTCTTCTATGACATTTAGGCGAAATCTTTGTTGGGCTTGGCCCTCAAGGACTCTAGCGAAAATGTTGTCATCATGAAATCAAAAACCAGTGAGTTGCATGTGGCATTTAAAAGCCCTTCACAAACTGACTGGAACTTGTATCTGCATGCACGCACACACACACACACACACACACACACACACACACACAGACTGATGAATGTGTATATAAATGTGATACATATAATATATATATATACACATAAAGTATATGTGTTTATTATATGCAGTAATATATATGGATCATATATGTGTGTATGTAGATACATATATCCAAAAGGTGATACATATGTGTCTATGTAGATACACACATAATACAATATAATAAAATATAAGATATATCCCATATTTATTTATCTATGGAAATGTTGTATTCCCCTAATAATGGAAGAATTTAAGCTCTTTGAGAATAGGGACTTTCTCATTTTTGTGTTTGTATCATTTTTGTGTCCTGTTCTAATTCAATACATTTAATGGAGAGGCTACTAAAATTTTCTGGTATACTCATATATTTTAGTAATAGCTTAACCTGGACTTTCATTGTTCCTTGATGAATCATGCTTTTAAAGTTTCAGAGAGATTACATGGATCTTTTGCTCAGGTGCAACAAAATTTCTTTGCTAAAATTTCAGAAACTATATTGTGAAATCTGGAGGCATTTTCAAAGTTTGGTTTTTCTTATTGGGCTACGTGATTTTCCTTTTCATGAAACATGATCTTTAGTTCCAAAATTTTTTTGTTTGTTTTATTTTGTTTTATAATACATAATAGCCACCCTTTTTTTCCATGAGGACTTTTAAAATCTTTGAAACTTAACTAGCAAGGAAGATTTCCATGTGAATGTCTTAATATCATCAATAACTGTGTTCCCCAAGGTTCTCAGTCTAGTTTGCAAGCCAATTGCTCTGCAGTTCCATTATTTTCATGTTATAATCATGAATTTCCCTAAAATATTATTAATAGCCAACATATCAACCATTATAGCAGTGCTGAATGAGGGCCAATGCATCAAGTGACCTGAAGATGGTTCAGAGAGTCTTTTAATTACATTTGTTTAAGATACAAAGCTGAATAGGATTTAAATGTCATTAAGCATAGAAATAAAATTTAGTATCAGCTTCAAAAGACAGAAAAAGAGATAAAGACCAAGAAAACATGAGACAAAAGAATCAGCCCAGGAAGCCATCAAAGGAAGTAATGTATCCTCCAAACAATCTTTGTTCCTAGTGCATTAGTTCACTTTTTGACCTTGTCATCATAAGTCTTATTAAAAATCATTTAGTGAGTGCCTCTTCTGGGTAGCATACTATGCCAAATGTTTAGGACACAATGAGATATAAGTCAGAATCACAGAATTTCAGAGTTGGTAGCATCCATCCAATTCAACTCCCCCAAATCCTTACTACAATATACCAAACACATATTCATACTCCCTTTACTTGAAAAACTCCTATGAAGGTAAATTCACTAATTCTTGAAGCATCCCATTTCCATTTTTAATTGTTAGAAAATAAATCTTTATATCAACTCTAAATTTGCCTCTTAGAAAATCCATCAGTTGTTCCTAATTCTATCCTAATTCTGAGATGAACCAGAAATTTAATTACTATCATGTAAAACTGGACAGCCTCTTAAGTACTTGAAAATATAGATCATGTATCCCATGAGCCTTCTCTTCTTTAGGCTAAAAACTCCTATTCTTTCAAATGATCTTCATGGTGTAAGATGTTGGGGTCCTTCCCACTTTTCATTACTGTTCTCCAGATATTCTTTAGCCTATCAAAGCCGTTCCTAAAATGCAGTATTCAGAAAATGTTTTGTATAACATGGGATTGTTTAACCTGGAGAAGAGATCACTTCAGAATGGCATCATAGCTGTCTCTAGGTATTTGAAAGATTGTCACATGGAAAAAAAAGATTACACTTACTCTACTTGATCCTACTGGACAGAACAAGAAACAATTAATGGAAGTTGTAGAAAGACAAATTGTGATTTGATGTAGAGGAAAAAGACTCCAAAATTTAGAGGAAGCAAAAATGGGTTTCCTCTTCATTAGAGGGGCTGTATGTCCACTGGTTGGATATGTTTTAGAGAGGATTCTTGTTCAGGTACAGAGTACATTAGACAGTCTCTGGGGTACCTGAAATTTTGTGATTGTCTTCCTACTGTTGAATAGACTACAATCTAGTCAGAGGAACAAGACATCTATCTACATAAATAGAAAAACAACAATGAAAGCTAGTATTTTTAAAGAGTCAGATGAGTGATTCATAAAACAAATGACATAGGATTTTTTTAATATAAATTTATTTGTTTTTAGTTTTCAACATTCCCTTCCACAAGTTTTTGAGTTCCAAATAGTCACCCCATCTCACCCCTCCACCCACCCCAAGATGGCACACATTCTGAATATCTCTTCCCTTAGTCTGTCTTCTCTTCTATCTCTTCCCCCCTTCTCTTATCCCATTCTCCTTCTACTTTCCTGTAGGGCAGGATAGACTTCTGTATCCCATTTCCTGTATTTCTTATTTCCCAGTAGCATATGAAAACATTTATTTTAAACATATGTTTTTAAAACTTTAGGTTTCAAATTTTCTCTCTTCCTCCCTCCCCACCCACCCTCACTGAAACAGCAAGCAACACAATATAGGTTGTACATGTGCAGTTATGCAAAACGCTTCCATGGTACACATGTTATGAAAAATTAACTCTATTTCCCTTAATCCTATGCTGCCCTCCCATTTATTCTTTTCTTTCTTTTGACCCTGTCCTTCCTCAGAAGTATTTGCTTCTGATTACCCCCTTTTCCAATCTGCCCTCCTCTCTATCATCCCCCTGCTCTCTTGTCCCCTTCTCCCCTTATTTTCCTGTAGGGCAAGACAGATTTCCATACACAATTGAATGTGTATGTTATTCTGTCCTTAAGCCAAATCCTATGAGAAGAAGATTCCCTCATTCCCTCTCACCTTCCTTCATTTCCCTTCCACTGTAGGAGACTTTCCTTTTCTGTTTTTATTTTTGTGAGATAATTTACCCGGTTCTACCTCTCCCTTTCTTCTTCTCCAAATATAATCCTCCCTCATCCCTTAATTTTATTCTGCAGATATGACCCCTTAATCTTAAACTCACCCTGTGCCCTCTATCTATCTATCTATATATACATACATATAATTTGTTTCCTCCAACAACCCTAATACTGACAAAGATCTCATGAGTTATAAATATCATCTTTCCATGCAGGAATGTAAATAGTTCAGTCTCTTATGATTTCTCTTTCCTTTTACCTCTTCATGTTCCATTTGAGTCCTGTATTTCAAAGTCAAATTTTCTATTCAGCTCTGGTCTTTTCATCAAAAATGCTTTGAAAGTCCTCTATTTCACTGAATGACCATTTTTTCCCCTGAAGGATTATACTCAGTTTTGCTGGGTAGGTGATTCTTGGTTGTAATCCTATCTCCTTTGCCCTCAAATATTATATTCCATACCCTGTGGTCCTTTAATGTAGAAGCTGCTAAATCTTGTGTTATCCTTGTTGTGTTTCCACAGTACTTCAATTGTTTCCTTCTGGCAGCTTGTAATATTTCCTCCTTGACCTGGGAACCCTGGAATTTGGCTATAATATTCCCAGGAGTTTTCCTTTGGGGATCTCTTTCAGGAGGAGATCTATGGATTCTTTCAATTTCTATTTTGTCTTCTGGTTCTAACATATCAGGGCAGTTTTCCTTGATAATTTCTTGAAAGATGATGTCTAGGCTCTTTTTTATCATGGCTTTCAGATAGTCCAATAATTTAAATTTCTCTCCTGGATCTATTTTCCCAGTTGTTTTTCCAATGAGATATTTTACATCGTTTTCTAATTTTTCATTTTTTGCATTTGTTTTACAGTATCTTGATTTCTCATAAAGTCACTAGCTTCCAATTGCTCTATCCTAATTTTTAAGGAAGTATTTTCTTCAGTAATCTTTTGGACTTCCTTTTCCATTTGGCCAATTTTTCTTTTTAGGGCATTCTTCTCCTCATTGGCTTTTTGGACCTCTTTGCCATTTGGGTTAGGCTATTTTTTAAGGTGTTATTTTCTTCAGTATTTTTTTGGGTCTCCTTTAGCAAGCTGTTGACTTGTTTTTCATGATTTTCTTGCATCACTCTCATTTCTCTTCCCAGTTTTTCCTCTACTTCCCTTACTTGCTTCTCAAAATCCTTTTGAGCTGTTCCAAGGCCTGGGACTGATTCATATTTTTCTTGGAGGCTTTGGATGTAGGAGCTTTGATT